TAATCCTCTGTACTCTCCTTGAATTAGTGAAATCTCCCCATCCTTTCCCGTGGACGTAGACAAGTTGCCGAACCACGTATATCTCTGTATTTGGTTTGATTTGTCGTAGTTGGCTTGGTTTGTGCAAGTGTGTGGCTTTCTTATTCTCGTGATCACAAGTTCATTGTGTGTGTGTACAACGCTTCCGTATAGGCGCTTGACAAGTGGTATCAGAGCTCAGATTTCAGATCTAGGGTTTTTTGGATTAGGTGGAGGAAGATTCTTGTGTAAAAGCTTGGTTCTTGGAGTTCTAGGCTTTGGTGTAGTTAGGGTTCGAAGTTGCCGTTGGAGATCTCGTTTTCCTCGTGTGGTTAGGAGTTCTATTTGGAATCCAATCTAGGGTTCGGTTGGGTAATTTCTTATTCCTTTCAAAGTTTGGATCTTTCTCTGCAATTTGGAATTTGTGATTATGGATGAAAAAGTTGGTGAAAGCAGCAAGATGATCGGCACAGTTCAAGTGGGTTTTTAGAATACTAAGATTAGTGTAGTGAAATATGACGGCAAAATCAACTTTGGTTTGTGGATGAGCGACGTACAGGATGCACTCAATGCTCAAAATCTGGAGGAGACCATAATGGTCCACGAGAGGCCACCTAAATATGATGAGGCGATATGGGAAAAGATGAATCAAAACGCTTGCGGGGTGTTCAGGTCCTATTTGGAACAGGAACTGAAATATGATGTGATTGGGGTGACGTCTGTAATAAAGATGTGGGGAATTCTCAATAACAAGTATCTCACGAAGAGTGTTGAGAACAGGTTGCACTTGCTGCGAAGATTATTCAGATTTCGGATGTCCAGATGCACCTCGCTTGCAGCTCATATGAACGACTATACAAAGTTGTTGTCGGACTTGACGAACGTGGATGAGAAGATCACGGATGAGAAGATCACCAGATGAGGAGTATGATACCTTCGTGCTTATGTTGCTAAACGAGAGATCTTCTATCACTTATAGTGAAGTGACTAACGCATTGACGAACTACGATTTGAGGAGGAAGGATAAGGAGATTTCCCGCGTTAGTACTTCAGGAGAGGCCTTGTCGACGAGAGGTAAAAGCTCATATCAGAAAGGTGGAAATAGAGGGAGGTCAAAGTCAAGAGGTCGTCACCAGCTTGGAAAGAACCAATGTGCATTCTGCAAGGAGCAGGGTTATTGGAAGAGAGACTGCCAAAAGGTAAAAAAAAAGGAGAATAGCAAGAATAAGGGCCCGAAGGCCAATGAGGTGAATGTTGTGAAAGGCGATGATTCCGATGATTCGAGCTTTTCTCTTTTGATTACTCCGGAGGTAAACCATTTGGATGCATCGGATTGGATGCTCGATTTTGGCGCTACTTATCATGTGACTCCTAGGCGAGATTGGTTTTCATCGTTTGAGAGACTCGATGGGGGTGTTGTGGTCATGGGAAATGATCAATCCTGTGGCGTTCGTGGGATAGGTACTGTGAGGATTCGGATGCACGATGGAGTAGTCCGTGAGCTGAAGGAGGTGAGATTCGTTCCTCAACTTAAGAAGAATCTTATCTCAGTGGGGGCTTTGGAGGCGAAGGGATTCAGGGTGACCTTTGGTTTTGTTCTTTTTTTATTAAAGACAACCTAGACGGAAATTCCGTCTATGTTGCCAACCTAGACGGAATTTCCATCTAGGTTGATCTTTAATTTTTAAAAAATAAAAAACTTCCGTCTAGTTTGGTATTCTAGACGGAAATTTCCGTCTAGAATGCCTCAAACTAGACGGAAGAATCTAGACGGAAATAATTCCGTCTAGGTTGCGTCAAACTAGACAGAACTCAATTCCGTCTAGGTTGTTCCGTCTATTTTGATTATTTTTCTACTGCTGAAAAGATGAACACATTTATCTCATTATTAATCCCTTGTGAACAAAGTATAGAATAAGTTTACCTTTTCGCGATATTCAAATTAGTACACAGACGCATATATTAATGTAACTACTCAACATCGAACGACCATATCACACGTACTCATTTTCATGGAAATGATTGGATCTTTGATATTCCCATTGCATTATTTATCTCCATTTCATTATTATCATCATGGCAATATATAAACGGACCAAGTAAAATTTTGCAAGTAGGCTCTCAACAACAAACAGTTGGCAGCTTTGATGTTCCCTTCTTCATACCACCATGAAGGAAAAGTTGCTCGGAATGGTTCTACGTAGTTTTAAAACCTAAATGGCCACATCTTTCACTCTTTTTTTAAGGTAAATATTTGCTAATTACACAACGTGTTCAATTAAAACACATTTTCAAATTCCAGTTGATAAGGAACAGAGTGGTATATATTCCACATTTTAAATAAAAAAGAAATTACATCTTGATAATGTCGCATCAAGTGGAGTCCCTAAAAAAGCTCTCTCTCTCTCTCTCTCACACAAAAGCAGTATTAAGTATTCGATCTATCTTAGTTTATAGGGTTTATTTTTTCTATTTGACCTATATTCTGATGAAATATTAAATAACATTTTCAAAATACCCTTAAAACAAATGTTCAAGCACTAGATTGTGTTAATGAAGGAATGTCATGTGCTTAGTACACGAGTTCTTTAGCTTGTTTTAAGAATTTTAGTCAAAATTTCATTAGAAAACAAGTCAATGTGGTTAATCAACTAGAACCCCCTTTAAAAGTGGTCTTTATATCTACTCTTTCATACTTATAGGAGGATCCAAAGAATTACTGGTCATGCTACAGTGAATACTACAGTAAATTACTGTAGCATAAACATTACATCAGATCTGGCCCTCCACACTTGAAATTACTATTTATGCTACAATAATTTACTGTAGCATAAACAGTAAACCAGCTTTGAGCCTCTATGCTTCATTTTACAGTATTTTACTGTATTATAAACAGTAAAACAAATTAAATGTATTAAAATGTGGATTCTCCTTCAAGTATATAAGAGTAGATATGATTTCTAAATTAAATGTATTAAAATTTAGATCATTCTTTAAATATATAGATGTAGATGTGATTTTTAATTTTAAGCGTACAATAATTAAAACAAATGTGTTAAAACTTAGAGGAAGAGAAGTTCAAAATGCGGTGCTTAAAAAAAAGCAGGAGACTGTGCTTCGCACGGGGTGCACACTAGTAAATGGAACATTGAATGTGGTTTTCATATAATCACACTCTATCTAATTTAATTAAAGGTGATTTATGTGAGAAAACCCCCCCTAGTTTATATATTAGTGTTGGTGTTATTTATAGTATATCCCTGTTAGTAATGTTCTGCCAGGAGAAAGGACTTGTTAATTAAGTAATTCATTAGGAAATTATAACTCTCATTAAAAAAAGAAAAAAGGAAAAAAAGTTATGAAGCAGTAAAAAAGGATGTTCTATCTCATCTTTTTCAAACGTGTCCAATTGGAAATTTCAAACAGATTTCTGATGCATGCTGGTTTATGGGCCACGAAATTCGCGAGACGCCAAACTTTTTAACGAAATATCTATCGGAGGCCATCGCTATCCCCATTAAATGCAAAAAGGACCTTTCCATCTACCTCTTATCCTTACCATGTGCTCTTGATTCTCTTTGTCCTCGTTAATTATTTTCTTCCATTTTTTATAACTTCAAATCTTGTTCTAGCTCTCTTCTGGATCTTACTATGCTAATCTTTTCTACTTCCTAGTAACTAAATGAGATCGCCAACTCTTCTTAAGGGTGGGTTTGCAACTAACCGAAAACTGAGTTCTTGTCCAATTCTAGTCCATTTCCGTTCCAATTACTGGTTCAAAATTAAACTAGTATCCAAAAAAGAACTAGATTTATGGTCACATTTTGGCTCACGAAACTGGTCATTATGTTTTACTAATTAAAAATAAATCTAAAACCGGATCAGGTTTAGGCCTAGCATAGTTTCAAAGAGTAGCAAAACACGTCCTAATGGGTAATACTCATGAGCGTACGGTGTACAATAAGCTTAGAAGCAAATTAATTTGGAACATGAGAAGCAACGTGCATGGCTAGAGAGCAAGGACTTAAGTTTTTAACTTTTGGGGTATCAAAGATGCGTAGAGGATTAAATTGTAATCAGATTTTTTTTATACCAGTCCCTAGCTTCAATCCTTAATATTTTGAATAAGTCCCCCTAATCATGAAAATTGCTATCAGGTCTCTCGAATCTTAAATTATTTAGAAATTAGTCACTCAAATCATTGAAATTGCTACTAGCTAGGTTTTCTAAATGTTGGTTTATTTAGAAATTAGTCCCTCAAACTGAGAGTGAGACCGGCAAATAGAGACAGATATGTCATCCAAAATTTGCATAAATTATTATTAGATCCCAAAATTTACATAAATTGTTTCGAATTAATCGCACTTATTCATAGATTGAAGGGACTAATTTCAATATAACTTATGATTTGGGGGTACCTAATGACAATTTCCGTGAATTGGGGGACTAATATAAAGAATCCCAATTGTATTTTATCTAAATGACACTAAACATGGCTGTGTTTGGCAACAGGCTAAATGAAGGGTTAAGGGGGTTTAACCCTTCATTAGCCTGCCAAACAGGTAAAAAAAAGCTCACAGGTTAGTTAACCCGCACGTGAGGGATAAAACTCATTTATCCCGTGAATTGAAGGGTTAACAATTCCTCTTAGATACGCGGAACAAGGCTTGTTCCGCCTTCTCACGCGAGGGTAGCCGACGGAATTTTAAAGGTACATTGATTTTCCTCTCCCCTTTTCCCTCTATAATTTCTCAATAATCTTCTGAGAAATCCGTGTAAGATTTCCCCCCAAAAAATTGCTTTCCGCTACTTCTTTCCCTTTACAATTTCCCCCCAAAATCCTCAAAAAAATCAGTAAAAAAAAGAAACAAAGTCATAATTCCCATTATTTTGCTCATGGACGAAAAATGCAATCAAACCCTAGATCATCACAAAGACTATGAAGAAGAAGAGAGAGGAATCAGAAGCTACTGAACTGATACTCTTCCAAGTTAACGAGTTCTACGTGTATTTGGTACTCAACTCTTGACTTCAAATCCCACTTGTCGATTTCAGCAAAATTCGATCAATTTCCTAATTTTTGTTGATCTTTTTTAATTCGATTTGTGTAGATACCTCCAAGGAAGAGCGCCGCTTCTTACAGGTGTGTTTCTTGGTACTAATTGTCATTTGATTTTGTCTTCGACAATGATTTGTTGTGGCTCAAAATTTCCCAATTTAGGAGAGGAATTAGGTCTTGCATGATGATTGTTTGTCCTTAGAACTGTTAGCTAATGTGTTTGACAAGGAATTGGTGGTTAAATTTTGGTTGGTTCACTTCTCTACGATTTACTCTATTGTAAATTTGAGAAGTGATTTGATCTTGTTTATTGCAATTTATCCTTGTAGCTTAAAATTGTTTGATGTGGCTGAGGGGTTATGGGCCCTCAGTTTGCGTACAATTGGGTAAACTTTTGTCTGTGATGTTGAGTTTGCATTTGGGTCTGAGGTGAGACTAAGAGCGAGGTAGAGTCTATTCTTACCTTGCTAGTGAGAGATTGGTTACAAGAATAGAGCTTTAGATTTGCTCATAAGAAATATTCAGAAGGTAGTTAAGGGAGGCCAGTTAGCATGCTCCACTGATAATTCATAGTTTTGTTGCTTCGCTTAAGGTTCTAACTAAAATTTAGAGATGCACGAGTTCATGCTTCTCGCCATTTACATATATTGCGTCGAAAAGAAACAAAGTCCAGGCAAGATTGTTAAGGAGGTAAGTCGTTCCATTTTATTCTTAGTTTCATAGTTCATTCTCTCTTTTCCCCTTTATGTGTGCTAATGATATTTGTTAGATGGTAATTTTCCTCTATATAAACATCATGGCATATGCAATACATGTTCAATTAAACAAAGCTTATGCTTGCCAATATCTTTTTTCTTTGGCTTCATTGTAGTTATGTAAAGTGTCGTTGTACAAAGTCCATTATCTATTCACCATCTTGAGTTTGAATGTCAATAGCAAAATTAAATGAAGAGCCAAAGTGGTGATTCCCCGCCTAAAATCATCGGACTAGTATATTGAGAACTTGTCCTTCGTAATTTGGAATATGAAAAGTACTCCACATAGAACATCATATGTGGCAATTATCCTAGTATTCAGGAGTGGAAAACCACCGATTGTCATTCACTTTATGTTTCTGTTTAGTTTTTGTCTACAATCAGAAGGGTGGTATGCATGTTTGATTTAAAATTTATTTGCCCTGTTTAGTTTTTGTCTACAATCAGAAGGGTGGTATGCATGTTTGATTTAAAATTTATTTGCCTGCACTAGACACTTGGGCTGTAGGTAGAGGGGGGATTGGAGGAATAAGGAACGCTATCTTGCAGAAACATTTAACGTATCACCAATTTTATTTCTGTTGGAAAATACATATTGTCCAATATATTGATTTTACCTAACTTGGAGGCCACACGCATCAAATATTTAAGGCGTGAGTAACAGCCATTTTGTAACCTATACCCATGCAACGTAGGCTGGGACCAACCTTTTTATCAATATTTAAGGCGTGAGTAACAACCATTTTGTCCAGCGCTGTTCGCATGGCCATGGTCCGTTACCATTGGCTAGTACCTATCAGTCTTTTGGCTTTAAATCGAAAGTGTATTTTGATCTACTTTCAGTGGCCTTTCTATAAATAACCGGTGTGATTATGCAAGCGGAGTTGATGCTTCCTCCTGCCAGAGTGTCCAAGGCTTAACGTACTCTTTACAAGGGAAGTAATTGCCTAATTGAGTGGTTTTCCCATCACATTGTGGTCATTGCTTAGTGAGAATCATAAAACTATGAAAACACAGTTCATGGGACTGTATAAAAGGACAAAGAGACAAAGTACAAGTATTTGAACTATTTGAATTAGATGCAGACATACAGGGAAGAAAATTACCATACCATCAACAAGGTCTTCTAGAAACTCTGTTGAGTATGTTAAGTAACTGCAAGAACATTTCCAATGTACCTTCATCACCTGAAGAGATCTGGAAGAAATGTCACCTGACATGAAAGCTAGACATAGTTCAAGCTCAACCTATTAAGTTTTAAGGTTTACCGTAAGTCCTTTCATTTTAGATGAGCATATCATAGTTATTTGATCACAATTAAAAAGTTATGTTAAGAGATGAGGGCATGGAACATTATAAACGACGTAAGTTTCTGTAGCACTGTACTGTTGTGCTATGTCTTGAAGAAATTCTGAGATCACTTCACAGGCTTGTACGAGGTTAAATGTGCTAAAACATTAAATTTCTACTTTATTGATTATGTGTATTGATTTCTTCTTATTTTTCAGAAAGTGTTTGTAAATTTGCTTAAACCTTTTATCGTAATTTTAGATTGTGACTATGATCTATGTGAGCATGCCTCAGTTCCTATTTGATTGACATATTCCATATTCAGTTAACCTTATCTTTTATATGTATTCTAAGTTCTATATACACATGTCAGCATTCAGCTTATATGAAACCTTCCAAAAAAGTCCTCTTTTTTATTGGATATAAATATCTAGTCAGGGCCGATGAATGGAATGTCAACAAATGGGACTGGGAGGGTTCACTAAAGGTCGTAAGCAAGGGACAGGAGTGCAATATCAGACTGGAAGATAAGACCACAGGTGTGACCATGTTTTAGTTTGTGGAGCTTGGAATTAAAGCCATAAATCTTTGTGCTGTTTCTACTAGTCCTTTTGGTAATTCTTTGATAATTTGATGTCTTCATCAGGGGAGCTATATGCCAGAGCATTTTTGCGAAATGGAGAGCCACATCCTGTGGAGCCAGTAATTGATAGCAGCAGGTTATGAAATATTAAAGTATAAGGAGATTGAATTATGTCTTGTTTTCTTATCTGTAGCAATGAGAGCCAACTAAAGTGATTTGCTTATTGCAGTTAATGAAGCGGGGATGATTAGTCACATAATGCGAGCAACTTGTTTTCATAACGTTACAGTTCATTGCATGCTTTTGCCTATTGTTGATAACTTGAAAGTTTGTTTAATTGCTAAGTTTTTTTGGAATAAACTTGTAGTCAATTATCGGGACTAATATGCATTCATTCTGATCCTAAATATTTTAGTCACATAATGCAAGCAGCTTGTTTTCATAATGTTACAGTTCATTGCATGTCAATATTTTATTTCAGTCCTAAATATTGATTTGTTTGCAGCTTGTAAAAATAATGGGGTTCTTAGTATACATGGGAAATGTATGTTTCATTATGCATTTATACATGCACTTGAAGATAGATGCCTTTTCAGATTATCCATTTTTCCTATTTGACCATGCATGTATCACAATGGAACAATCATGCTCCAACCAATAGCTTTTGTGCTTGCTAAGACCCTTGTCCGTTATCAGATTTAACTTGCTGTTTCAAATGCTTTATTCCCAGATCCATGACTTGCTGCTTCAAATGCTTTATTCCCAGATGCGCCAGTAGCTAGAGATTTATCTGAAATTGCAAGACATGGACTAAAGTTTACTCTACATTGTTTGTTACATATGTGTATGATATGAGACTGTCTATTTGCAAAGAGGATAAGATTTACATAGAATTTTTAAGTTTTGGTAAATGAAATTTATGCATTTATCACTTCTTTTGTCATTCTTTACAACAAATTGTCTATTTTTTCATTTTTGATGAGGTAATTATTTATAAATTTTTAATAAGGGTGAAAGTGGTATTTTTTAAAAAATAATGAGATTAATCTCCTTAACCCCTCTTCATTTGCCAAACACAAAAGACTTAACCCATTGTCTTAACTATCGTATCCAAACGGGTTTAGAATTTATTTAACCCTTCACGATGGGTTAACTAAGTTAACCATTCTCTTTAATCCCTCCTCCTTATCCCTTTGCGAAACGCTGCCATAGTGTAGAATACCAAGATCGTTCCTAAGAGTAGATATATACCGTATAAAAAGTGTAGATACTAGAGATACTGTACATCTAAAGATTCTTTCTAGCAAAGTATCTAACGGCTATGCAACTCAATAAGCTCACGTGATCGCACAGTAATGAAAAAGTGCACTGAGAAATTTATCTCGTGGATGACTGTAACGACGACGACGAACACATTCAGACTGGGGGAGGGGGGCCTGCCAGCTCGACGATAAAGCGCCGATATTTCCCCCTCAGACGTGCGCGGGCCCCCACCCCATATAAAATATCCAACAGCCCAGTCGCATCGACGAATTTTTTTTCCCGACACCACGCGTCCCCGCGTATAGACACCCGTGCGAGATCCAGCCCCCCCATCCTCTTTCAACAGACAAGACAACAGCGGGTGGTGTGTGTACGCATATAAACTTTTCTATGCGGGACGAACGCATAAAACTGGGGTCTGTCGTCTCCTCGCTACGCCCTCGTGCTCCACATGTGACACTAGTCAAGACAGCGCTGGCCTGCTGTATAAGAAACTTGGGTCATCTCCTTCCCTCGTTCCCGAGCTTGATATCAAAAATTCCTCCATCATCTCGTTTCCCAGTCTCTTAAACCTCTTGAAAGCGGAAGCAGAACAAGGCTACTAGGGTTTCCCAATCCTTCGAAAGCTCTGATTTTGGGTGAGCTTAGGATCTCAAGCTCTAGGTTTAGGGCTACTAGGGTTTCGTTTCCCAATCTCTTGGCTTCTTGAACCGTCTGGATCTACTGAAAGTAGACTATTTTGGGCTACCGAGGGAGAGGTTTATGAGAATTCCGATATGAAAGCTCATAACTTTGTTTGAATTTGGCTCGAGAAACTCATTTAAAAATCTTCACCATTAGTTTCCTTCCCCCCCGGTCTCTGGAAGTTTTGATTTTGGATAACATTTCGAGCTTTGGAGCTCAAAAGTTTAGGTTGGAATTTGTGCTATCGGGTCGGATCTAAACATTATGTGACCCTCACGAAGAGGGCACCCGATAAGATGATCCCCTGCGACTACTGCTCCGACTCAACCGCAGTGATCTACTGCCGAGCTGACTCAGCACGCCTCTGCCTCTCCTGCGACCGGCACGTGCACTCCGCCAACGGCCTCTCCCTCAAGCACGTGCGCTCCCGCCATCTGCGCCAACTGCGGGTCCCAGCCCGCAACCCGCTCGCTACGAAACCGACGGCCGTCCTCTCTGCTCTCGACTGTGATTTCGATGCTCACGGATGCGGGTCCGCGGTCGGATAGTGGTTTCGGGGTCCATGCCCGATCCGCTATCGAGGGTTTCACTGGCTGTCCGTCTGCGTGTCAGTTGGCTAGCGCCTGGGGATTTGATCTCGCAGCGAAATCCAAGGTTGGGTTGAGATCGGAATTTGGGTCTGGATCCGGATCCGATTGGTATAATTCTGACTCGTTTTTGGCTGTGGATCCGGTATTTCAGGTATAATTTTGTTACGGCCCAAATTAGTTCTTTTTTTTTAAAATACTACTTCCCCCTGCAAAAGTTGTTCTCAACTCTCTAGTTGTGAATTCTAGAAATGTGTAATTTATTTATAAAATGGTAAGAGCCCTTGTCAACTATACTATTATTGGTAATTCAAATGCTATTTTAAGATTGCAACTTGTTATATTAGGGGGGTTATTGGTTGGTGTAATTTTGGGGTAAGTGGGATAATTTTTGGTACTTTATTGGTTGGATAATTACCCCCATTTTTTTCAAAATTATACCACTTCTATACAAACTTTTTGTCCCAACCTCCAAAAATTACCTCATTCTTAACTTTGGGACAATCATGAGGAAAGTGGGATAATTTTGAAGCACTAATTTATCAAATATCTAATATATGTATTATAATATATAATATATCTTAATTATATTATATTATAAATTCTATTATAACTTAAGATTATTATTTAATATTATCTAATATAATATTATTATATATCATTATTGGATATTGGTTAATAATATTTCATGTATTATAATATTAGTATTATATCATTATAATATTACTTTATATTATTTAGTATATATTTTATTAGTTAGAAGAAAAATATTATTGTAGCATTTTTATGATATAAAATATTGTATTATAATATAGTGTTTATATATTTAATATAATAATATATTAATTATATTATAATATATTTTATTATATTATAATTTACTATTTCTATAAATATTATATTTTAATAAAGAGCCATGTCATCAATTATTGTATTTAAATTATAGTAATTATCATAAAGTAAAATAAAATATTATATTTTTAATAATAATATAATATTTTAAATAATATTATATTGAATTAATACAAAATATTATAATATTTGATTAAACATTATATTAAATATATTGTTGTATATTATATCAATCATTATATAATATATCATATTATTATAATATATTATATTATATTAATCAATAACATTAAATATAGTTATAATTAATTAGTAATTATAATATAATATATTATAGTATAGTATAAAGTAAAATAATGTATTATATTATAATAACATACCAAATAATATACTAAACCAATTAGGTGAATTAATTTAGACTTAATTGATAGATAAATATTATACTTTAATAAAGGGTCACATCATCAATTATCCCACATGAAGTATCAAATCAAAGCTTCAAATTGTCACCACTCAAAATATCCCAAAGGGATAAAATTATTCCATTGGAATAATTATCCCACTTAGCCCCAACATGTCCCAACCAATAACCCCCCTTAGATTTAGAGGAGAGAATATGGAATCTCTAAAGCATCGAATTGAGTGTTCTGTGGCATTTAATACGCATTTTTAGAATGATTTTTTTGACTTTTTCCAAGGGCATTTTTAGTGTACAGAAACTTTAAAGCAGTCACTCTGCAAACTGATTTTGTAAAGTTACACACTTTTTTTGCAAAAATAACCGTATATCAAATTGATTCTTGGTCCTTTGTGTAAAAGAAAAGCTCAATTTTCCAACTGCAATTGCAACAACACTGCAGATGCAATGAAGCAAAGAGCTGCAACTGTGTTGTTACAAACTTAATTGTTGTCATAGTTGAAACTTTTGGTTTACACCCCTACGTAACAGTTCCATCTTTCAATTTGAATACCTAAACTAATAGATGCTTTGTTACCAGGACTTATATGTTCCTTGTGCTGAGATCAAACCCCAGAAGACTAATCCACTGCTGGATCAGCTTATTGAACTGGCAAGTCAAGATTCTACAGATCCCATCATAACATCAGATGGAACGAATGAGTCCCTGGCGCCATCAGATTTGAGCCCAAGGACGCCATGTCATAGTACCAATGTCGCAGGAACTCAAGGAGACGACCATGATCATATTCTGCATCAGATGCCATTCACTTCCTTGCTTAACAGGTCGTTGGAGATGAAGAGCTGATGTGGGATTGTGTGCCCAATGCTGCTCAAAATGCTCAGGTTGTGAATCAACCACATTAATCTCAGTTTAACTGAAATTCTATTTTTTGTGTGCCCAATGCTATTCATAATCCTCAGCTTTTGAATCAACCACATTAATCTCATTTCAACTGACTTTCATTTGCTTGATATGTTGCTATTTGGTTGAATTATTGAAGGTATATACATTAGTTTTTAATGTTAACTTAGTAGTTAATTTTGTGATGCATGGATTACCATGTTTATCGACTCTTATACAGTAAATTACTGATTCTTCTGAGCATGGATGCAACTGATTAAGCGTTTTCTTGGTCCTTTTAGTTGGGATACATAGTGTATGTCATTTGAGGTCTAGTTCACTTTTCCAACCTATGTGTAGGAATGATAAATATATATACTGGGTTTGTCTTTGGGATTTAAAGAATAAGATGGGAGTTGGGTTATTCTCAAGAGCATAGGCAATGTATACCGTATGGATCAGAACCTGAATTCTACATGGTTTGAGGTCATTAGTTTTTATAGCATACACCTGGCTCTGAGATATGTTCACTACCTTTGTCATCAACGCTATGGATCACAACGCAAAGTTGGGAAACCTTCGCTGGTGAATTCTAAGCTTTTATGACAGTTTTGAATCCTATGTAAGTTGACTGATATTCAGAGCTGACTAGGGGTGGTTAACGATCAAATCGAATCAAATACTAAGGTGTTCCTATTTATATTTTTTAAAAATTATCGAATTCGAATGCGAACTCTAATATTTATATCTGGATGTTTTCGAATTTGAACTCGAATACTACGTATTTGATAAATATTCATGAATACTTATCGAATATCAAAGTACATTTATTCTGCTAAAGAATTTATTTTTAAATAGTATTTAAATACATAGATGAAAATTATTCCTTTATAATATATGATGTATATATATTTTAATCAAAAATTTTCATTCGAAAACAGTTTTAAGATTATTTAAGCGTTAATTAAAATCAGTACATAAAACTTAAGTAGAAATGGTAAGTGGATTAAAAATATGACATCATATGTGTAGTAATACAAATAATAAGGGATCAAATTTTAAACGAATACTTGGTAAGCAAATGAATCAAATATACATCTGGTTAAATTCTATTTGTTAATAAACTTGAATACTAAAAAAATATTTTTTTAGCGGTAAATGAACTATCGAATCGAATATGACCGAATAGTTACTCGAACAATTATCAAACTATTTGTTAATTATTTGGTTTATTTCCACCCCTAGAGCTGACCATTTTAATCCAGAAAAGAGATTGCTGGAAACACTGAATGCCAGCTAGCTGGTAAGCGAATCTTCCGTTTCTCATGTTGCTTAAGCACATGAAACTAAGAAGCAGATATTCTACCTAACCTTCTTAGTCTTGCAAGTTAGCCTTATGCAACCATAGTGCACTTTCTAATCATCATTCTCTACTTTTTGTGGAGAACTAAGGGACAATCACTATATTTATGGTCTCATTGAATTGAGGTCAAACAAATTACCTCATGGTTGAATTCATGGATTACATAAAGAATTACAAAACTATAAAGTATCCGCTCTTTCAACTGGTTCCTGAGATGTTCAGTGTTTTTCTGGACGGGCAGTGATAGGCTGATAGCAAAGAGATCTGGATCAGGAAGTTCATATATACTGTTTTGATGTGTGAATTTTCATCTACTTTCCGAGCATGACTAACAAATTGCAATAGTTGTGCTGCTTTCAGGCATACATCTTATCATGTCCGTGCCCCTAGTCATTCAGAAGCAGAAACTTTGATGGCTAAATTCCAAAGGTTTAATATTAATCTCCAAAAGGGAATATTACTATCTTTATTCCTGACTCTTATAGGTGATCTTGTAAGTATCTTTGATTCACCAGCTGGCAGAGAGTTGCATATTCAGTCATATAGAGAATCCTTGATGCATGTCTGTAAATTGGAAAAAATGAAAAATGCTGTAGAAACTGTAAAATTGTTATTTATTCGTAATTTATAGCTTGTGGTTGGGTAGAGGCCGTGTTATAAACATCATGAATTTGAGCTTGTTTGTTTATGCATCTTGGATTTGTTTGTTTAGTGTTCCTTCAGCTAATGTTGTTGCCGTGTTGCAATTCATGGTATTGTTTATTCTGTAGTGAACTTACTGTCAACTCTTTTCTCTGTTGCAGATATGGGACTTTAATCTTGGAAAATCACGGGATCATAATGCATCATCACAACTTGAAATTGGATATGGGACAAACAATGCTGGTTTTATGATCAAGAGCTACAATGACCTTCTCAAGGAGAATCCCTTTGAAACTACAAATATATTGGAAGATATGTATGACACTAATTGCCCTTCTTCAAATGATGATGTCTTGTCAACTAACATCTGTCACATGAATTTGCAAAATGTAAGTCATTGATTGTCTTATGTTTATTTACCATAGTGTTTCAATACGAAATATCTTTTTTGGCAACTTGTAGAATTAAGAGGTTGTAGCAGAAGTTATTACCCTACATCCAGTTTGTTGGATAGAGAATTCCTAATCTATTTTGGTAACATGAGGTTATTAGGATTCCTAGTCTATTTTGGTAACATGAGGTTATTAGGATTCCTAGTCTATTTTGGTAACATGAGGTTATTAGGATTCCTAGTCTATTTTGGTAACATGAGGTTATTAGGATTCCTAGTCTATTTTGGTAACATGAGGTTATTAGGATTCCTAATCTATTTTGGTAATAGGTTATTAGGATTCCTAATTTGATTTGGTTTTGGTTTAGAATTCCTAGTATGTTTATGATTTTAGGATTTCTATATATATGGAACAATTGAAAGAGAGAATTTAGTGGAGAAGAAAAATTAGGGATATTTGGAGCACAGAAAAAAGATATTTTCTGAGCTATTTGTTTAGGATTTTGTTTGGAGAGATTAAGAGCTTGTTGGTGAGATTAGTTTGTTCCTTCGAGTGATTTGTAATCTTAGTTTGTACTCTTTCTCTATTAGTGAAAACCCCATCCCCTTCTTACCTCGTGAACGTAGGCAATTGCCGAACCACGTAAAACTATTGTGTTTGGATTTGTGCCGTTGTTTTGATTTGTTTGGCCTTTATCTCGATGTTTGTTTGATTTGGCTCTCAAAGCATGCCCGTTTGGCTGTCACGCTTCCGCGATGCGCACAACAAGTGGTATCAGAGCTCCAGATTTCAGATCTAGGGTTTTGTCTTGGTTGGAGGAGTAGATCAATTTTCCGCATTGGTTTGTTAGCGCTTGGGCTATTTGGTGGAGTAGATCGCTTTGGAGACTCTTCGAGGGCTTCGTTTGGAGATAAATGTGAGATTTTTCCTATTTGTGGATCTCGTTGCCGTCGTGCGGGGTGAGATCGTTTGGAGACTCTTGTTAGGGTTTTATTTGGAGGTAAAATTCTCTCCTTTATCAGTTTGGATCTATTCTTCATTTGTTGGTGCTTTGAGATAGTTGGCCGAGATAGAAGGATTTGAGGCTGAGTTATTTGTTTATTGATACGGTGCATTGGATTATTGAGAAGTGCCATTGACCTGCATATTGAAGTCCTTTTGAGCACGTTGGTATGAGCAAGGAGACCGATGTGGAGTTTGGCACTTCTATTTGATGATTGAATGGTCTTCTATTTGGTGTTCATTCAGGCATTTAGGAGCCTTCCAAGGAGGCATCATTGGAAGGTAAATTGGTATTTTAGTTTTCTATGTTGGGGATTATACTAGGCATTTGTGGGTTGCAACCAAATGCCGTTGGTTTTGAAGTCCTAGTAGTCAACAACAGTTGAAGAAGTGTATTGGGAGTAAGGTAAATGTACTTTATTCTGATTGTAGGAGGTACAAGAGGGGCCTACTGTATTTGTACCGAGCTCATGGCAGTTTGAGACACTTCATTGGTGTGGAAACTTTGAGGCGACAAGGCGAGATGGAAGATTTGGGCAGTTGTTCCTTTCTGGAGGAGGATCGGCGTTTGATGTCGAGCATTGGCATTGGTGTGCAGGCTACGATATGTTTGGGCCGTCTCATGTATAGGTTGCCGACTGCTGCATGTATAGATATGAGATATGGTGGAGCTGCTTCAGATTTTAGGTTGCGTCGGATGTTTGACTACCCAACACTTAGTCACATTGTGGATGTGAAATTTGATCCGATAGCATATTTGGGATTCAGAGCCGTGTTTGATTATCAAGTATTGGCTTCTGACTTTGTTTTGAGCAGGCATGCCACGTTTGACTCTCAGTAGGTGGAGCGTGGTGATCAGATCTTTGGGACATGGCAGCGGGTGGAGAGTGATGCTACTCCACGTTGGGTGAAAACTCCAGATCATACTGCATCATTTGGGATTCCAGCTGATGTGACACAGATTGGGAATCGTGTTGATTTGGATGCAGATGATATGTTGATTGATTCGAGTACAGCTGATGGATGTAGTCTGGATATGGTCATTGGTTCATCTCAGGTGGAGATGTTTGGATTAGTTCAGTTTGGAGCCATTGGAGGTGCTATCAACCGCAGACTTGATCGTGATATTGGAGAAGGGTTGCGAACTCTTCTAGTGGATTGAGACTTTTGGAGGCCATTTGGGTGAACTACGTGAATGCTTGATTCCTTGGACAAAAGGATACGTAGGCAGTCAGTTTTGATGCAATCGATTTGATGAGTAGATATTGACATTTGGGTGAGTGTTCACACTCCCGTTTGGGTCTCGACTTGTGTGGATGGAGTCCGTTGTCATGAGTTCGTTGTCGTGGGGTACTAGACGCAACAAGTGAGACATTTGGTTTGGTCGGTGTCGGCTCAGTTTTAGGAAAACTTCGCCGAGGTGAAGAATTGTTGGATAGGGAATTCCTAATCTATTTTGGTAACATGAGGTTATTAGGATTTCTAGTCTATTTTGGTAACATGAGGTTATTAGGATTCCTAATCTATTTTGGTAATAGGTTATTAGGATTCCTAATTTGATTTGGTTTTGGTTTAGAATTCCTAGTATGTTTATGATTTTAGGATTTCTATATATATGGAACAATTGGAAGAGAGAATTTGGTAGAGAAGAAAAATTAGGGATATTTGGAGCACAGAAAAGAGGTATTTTCTGAGCTATTTGTTTAGGGTTTTGTTTGGAGAGATTAAGAGCTTGTTGGTGAGATTAGTTTGTTCCTTCGAGTGATTTGTAATCTCAGTTTGTACTCTTTCTCTATTAGTGAAAACCCCATCCCCTTCTTGCCCCGTGGACGTAGGCAATTGCCGAACCACGTAAAACTATTGTGTTTGGATTTGTGCCGTTGTTTTGATTTGTTTGGCCTTTATCTCGACGTTTGTTTGATTTGGTTCTCGAAGCACGCCCGTTTGGTTGTCACGCTTCCGCGACGCGCACAACACAGTTTACACTAAAGTTATAAATAATTGCATAGATATGCTTACCAGACAAGCAGCCATTAGCGTTATAGACTTACCCGATGACACCTTCCCATATAACATTGGTGGTCGCTTGGCAACTTATTGTTAGAGCTGATCCAATCCTGTCTATGGCCTCTTCTATTTGTGTGCTGTAGCCTATCCCAAAAGAATAAGTTTACCATGACAATCTTGTAATCTTGGGACGCGCAAGAAGTTCCCACTGAAACTGCATAGGATTATGCATAGTCTTAGCTATTAGAGCTCAGTACCTATATTGTAACTTATTGTTTCCTTTAGTGGGATCATTCTTCAAAAGTTCTCACAAAGTTGCATTCAAAATTGTAAATGTTTTTATCTGAGGGAAAGCGAACCTATAACGTCAGAATCTCATCCATCTGAAAGTATTTGATTTGAAATTTCTCTCCTTTGTTTTATTATGAGATATCAATAGATTTCTAGCTAATAATACTAAATGACCTGATTTCAGCTAGGCAAATGTGGGGTTGTGGTTGATCTTCGTTTCTTATTTTGTAAATTCTAAGTTTATACTCCATAATCAAGTGATTATATATGTAAATGATCATCATTAGTCGACGTGTCTGCTAACCTGATTTTATATAAACTGTTACCATATTATATAGACACAAATTGCTGTAAGTTTAGCAATATGGAAATGGTTTTTTTAGATATTAGTCCCTTATATCATTAGTATTTTGATATTTGTCCCCCAAATCTTCATAATTTTGATATTAGTCCCCCAAATTATCTTAATATGTTGATGTCAGTCCTTCTGTTAGGTTTACTGTTCAAATTATTTAGGTATCCATCTGTTTAATAAGTACCTAGTAAAGGGTAGTAATACCCACTTATCACATATACATATTATCTATTAGTAGGATAAATCTGGATATTGATATCTTCTTTCTTGCATACCAGCAGGGAAAACTTAGCGTGTCTGGCAAATGGAATAGCAATGGCAACAATTCAATAGCAAATGGGTTAGCGCACTCTGGAAGCAATGCACTTGCCATCGTCCCCTCTATTGGTTCTTCACATGAAGCAGGACCCATCAGCAACATGAAAGATATTTCCTTTGGGGAGCAACCCATAATCGGAAATGAGATGTTGACAGTGATGAAGAAGGTTGACAGTGAGCTATTAGCTCAGAACCGAGGAAATGCCATGTTACGCTATAGAGAGAAGAGGAAAAATCGCAGGCATGAATAACTTTTTGTCCTCACCATTTTCACTTAATAAATAATTTTCCCCTTCTAATTCTATCTCTGAATCTCTAGGTATGAGAAGCACATTCGTTATGAATCGAGAAAGGCAAGAGCTGATTCTAGGAAGCGGGTTAAGGGTCGTTTTGTTAAGTCTACGGAAGTCGATGTTGAAAATGTTGGCTGAATCTGCTTCAGTTAAGCAAGCCAACACAATTGGTGTAAATATATTTTGACAATATCGGTTGTTTTATTCTGTTTCTTTTCTTGATGATGTTGTTGTATTTGTCAATTTGATCTGCTGTAATTTGGAATGAGAAGAAACTAGGGATCTGTTTGTTTCTCGTAAACTGAAATGACCGATCTGTCTGATGGTAGTTCACCTTCAGTGGTTTGAGGATGTAATATGCATATTGACGCTGATTTGTTCTGGCGGGTTGAATGTATTAGGGTTGTTCGAAATATATTATTTTAAGTTAAATGCTATCAGAAAGTACTGTTGAAACCTCATTTTCGAAGTAGAGGATTGTATGATTAGCCGAGCTGGGTGCTCTGAGGGCCTGCGTGCAACTTTCTGCGGTTTCACGACATCATATATAATCAAAAAAATTTAAACAAAGTTTTATATTAACAATGCACATGTCAAGGTATCTCGACTGAACGGAATCACGGTAAAAAAAACCAAAAATCTTAGACCAACTAGCTCCTTACCTCAGTAAACATAGCAGTATGAGGTTTCCATACTAAACCAATGAAACAAAAATATCATCTTCATGCTCCAACAATCTTTTTCGCAGGATCACGTTCAGCATGAATATTTCATACGAAGGTTAATATCCTGTTCACAATCACATTGTAGAGCTCTACAGATCTGGTTTCTGATTGTATTTAAACACACCAAGTACATCCACAACAACATATATTATAAAAGCTTAAACAAATAATTAGGACAACTGCTGCAGATTTATGCGATTTGCCTAGTCTTGTATATTGTGGTGAGTGAGCATATGACGAGGGAAATGAGAAGCCCCAGATATGAGAAAGCCAGAGAAATTCCAACCCTCTCACAGAACTTGCTATAATAGGGGCATACCATGCTCCATCCAATATCAGCATTCCCTTTCTTACCTAAGTATGCTATTGATGTTGCAGCCGATGCCGATGCCATAATTAGTCCCATAGTCATCTGTAAAATTAGGCTTAAGTAATATCACAAGCTTCAAACTGATTATTTGTTTCAGTAATTTCTGCAGGTTTGATTTTTTGAGGACATAGGACACATTAATTGTTGCAACAGTACAATGTTTTTTTTTTCCTCTTTTGAGCGATAGGAGGGACATACTAATAATAACCTCCGGGTGTAACTAAACTAGCAACATATGATATACATTGGATTTGGTAATTTTTTCCATTCAAATTTATATACAAGATATAAATTAATGATCAAGAAACAAAGTAATCCTGTGCTTGTATCAATTAATTGTGCTCAAGTGTAGGAAAAGCCATTCTTTTCGGTAATATAACAAAAAGATCTCATAGTTCATAAATTTTTTTTAAGTGTATATATGATTTTTTTAGGACACAACTTGAATGAATTAGATGATCAAATTTAACCGCATACCAAGTAGTTTGATAAATGCGCATGGCTATGTTATGCTCAAGAGTATTAAGCTTCTCTTATGGAAAGATTTATTATAAATGCCAAATGCTGTGAAAAGAGGGGGAAATGTAAAGAGGGGGAAGTGTGAAGGATTTTCTGTTCTTCATGAAAATCACCTTCAAATTAGGTCGAATCATTATACAACCACCTTTCATTTTTCTTTTTCATACGTACGAGTTTAGTTTTCATGAATCAACAACTTTTTATTGAGAAGAATTTGATGAAAATTATTTGATATAAAACTAACTAGTCCCCACTACTTATTAGGTGTGTTAAAAAACTTCAAAGCTAATTTTTATCGATTCCAACTATTTTAAAGATGATTTTCATGGTAAAAACCCAAACGTAAATCATGAAGAAGTCACATACCAAATCAAGAAGAGGCATCACATATCCATCCACACTATTGGAAAGAAAAGGCAGAGATATGAGTGAGTAGCAACAAACCACCGCATTGCCAGCCACAAAGAACCTAAAGAAACAATACCATCATTTATCAACAAAACAACATAAAATTAACTGAAGAAAACAAAAAATAAAATAAAATTCTTTTTTTCTTTTTATTTTTTTGTAATCGACGTACTCAAATGCTGGAGATGACTTGTAGGAAGCGCTAACGTAAAACCCTCCAAAGTCTCTGGCCTCCTTGTTGAGAGCCATAACCAGAGAGGCGCTAAGAGTGGCGAGAAATGTGAAGATCCTTAACAAAATCTGAGTTCTGATGTAGCTGTTGTGGGATTTTTGTGATGGGTTTTGTGGCCTCTTTGGAGTGATGACCGCGTCCATTGGTAGACTGAAAACAATAAAAAAATAATAATAATTAAGGCTAGAAAAAGAGAGGGAAATGATGAGATGACCGAGGAGACGCAGTGAAGATCCAAATATTTATAGAGGAGGAGGAGGAGGAGTTAAGAGGTTATATGTAAAGTTAGAATTGGAGTGGGAGAAGGGAAGTGCCTATAAATTAGCATGGGCGGTTGCATGCGGTTACGGGAGAAGTGCCTATAAATTAGCATGGGTGGTCGCGGTTACGAGAGGTGTGAGGTCTGGTTACCTGCGGTTGGGTTACCGGTTTCAAAGCGGGTTTTGGACGCTATGTGAGCAAAATCACGATTAGACCCATTTAAAAAAAAAATTTACGTACGGCGACAGCTTTGGTGCTCCAAAAAATAAAAATTGGAGCACCAGTGGTAAATTTAGTAATTACGTTGCATGAATTTCTCTCCCTCAGCTGTAATTTTTTAGATACGGTGGTGTGGTGATATTCCACACCCAAAATTGTAATTAACTAAAATGTTTCAAATAGAAAAAAAAAAGTTATTTTGAGAAACAATTATATGTAGAAAAACTGATTTTAAGGCTGGTTAGAACTCCAACTTACCACGTATAGAATGATACAGTGTTTTTTTCCGACAACTGTTCATAATTAAATTAAACAATTTAATTTTATATTAGTCTCTCTTTTTTTTCTATTTCCACTGGTTATCTTGATCAAACTATCTTCTTATACGTTAACTGGATATTTAGGCCTCGTTTGGTAAGCGGGAATGGGGTGGAATGGAATGACATTCTCACTTCTCATTCCTTCATACCAAACAAATCAACTTTTTAGATGTTGGAATGACCATTCCCAGGGAATGACCATTCTCACTTTTTGTGGGAATGGGCATTCCAAGTGAGAAGATAGGGAATGGTCATTCTCATTCAAGAGAGAATCAAATCAGTTATTTATTTTTTAATTATACCCCTATTAATCAACTGATTTCCACATTAGTAATTCTGACATCCTTTTCATATGCAATATGCATCAACTGTGGATATCATTCTTTATATTTTTTTGGACCTATGAAAGATGCGATAATCTTTTATTTATTTTTCTTTAATTTTTTAAGACTAAGAAATAGTGAGTATTGTTTAAAAAATATAAATAGAACATACACTTGAGAGATAACATGCCCAATAGTATAACATGCACAGAAATTAGTATAACATATGCATAAATAAAATTGTTTAGTTATTATCATTAATGTTTATTTTTATCTTATTAAAAATATATGTTGTTGTAAGGACATTATTAGAAAATGCGATTCCATTCTCACTTGTGGACAAGTGATAACAAACATGGGAATGAGAACGAGATTTTCATTCTAGCCTCATTCTACAAAAGTACCCAAACATGAGAATGGGAATGACCATTCCATTCCCACATACAATCCATTCCATTCCTTCTTCCATTCCATTCTCACTTATGTCCATTCTCGCGTACCAAACGAGTTTGTTTCTAGAAAATTAGTTTTTTTAATTTCATGGTAACCTTTCTTATTAATTTTTTAAGTTAGTTATAAACTAGTATTTAGACCCGTGCAAAGCACGGTTTTTAATATATATTCTGCAAATATTAAACATGTTACTAAAATTAAGTATTCAGCTATAAATAATTTTAATATTCTGTTATAAATTAAGTATAGTGGTTTATAAATATTTGGTTATTTTTTGTTAATATATTAGATCAAGTTCTAATCGATAGTTCATTTAGTTTAAACAAATAATTTTTAGTATTTGGTTTATAAATGAATAGAATTTAACAGAATGTATGTTTGATTCGGTAGTTCATTAATTATTTAATTTGATAAAGTTTTTAATAGAATTTAACCAAATGTATGTTCGGAAGTTCATTAACTGTTTGATTCAGTAGTCCTATTAATAGAACTTGTTGCAAATATTTCTTATGTAAATATTTTTTACAAATGATACCCATGATACCCATATAAATAGCTGGGTTCTAGGGCTAGGTTTTTTTTTTTACATTTCTTTTTTGCTTCTATCGGCCGCCTCCTTCAGATCTGACCAAGTAGATCGGCTCCTCTCTCCTCTCTCTCTCCTTTAGATCCGACTCCAATTGAATTCTAGGGCTAGGGTTTTTACTATCGTTCCTCGAATCTCGTCGTCGGCTCTTCAGATCTGACCATGATACCATATACTTGTCATTCACAACTCCCTCCAAGCTCGTCGTTCCTAGAATCTCGTTGTCGACTCCTCACTCGAAGTTCTTCGTTGACTCCTCCCTCTAAACTCGTCATCCCTTGATGGTCTTTGTCAGTCGAAGATCGTTGTTTATTCCTCCCTCGACTGTCTTCCCACTCGAGTTATTAAAATGTAAGTTGAAGCTTAAAGTTACCATTAGTCTTAATTTTTAATTTATGCAATTGCTAAAGATTATTTCTTTATGACTTTTACAGATATTTCCTCTGCTCTCTTTCTTCTCTCACCCCTTTTCCTACAATGCCTATTATTTTTTGAAAGAAGAATAATTCTGAAGGTAATTTATCTAGTTGTTTATTTTTCATAAATTTAGGGTTTTAGGTAAAGAGTTTGTTTTTTATTTTTAGATTAGTTGAATTAACATTCAAAGATTGATAATTTCATTCTTTCATGATCTTACATTTTTCATCCAATTGATCTCGAAGATAGAAGGTAGGTGGTGCAGCGTTAGTGTTTTGTCCTCAAGGTCTGATCTTTTAGCCTCTTATCGGTCTCATGTAAAATTTTGAGTTTTTTTATTATTTATGGGGATTTATTTATTTTTGTCTTTGATTATAGTTTTGTTTATTTTTACTTAACTGGAAAGATGCTAACTTTTTTCATATTTTATAGCATATATAAACTTATTAACTATTTTTTAGCTTTTATTACATGTTAACTGATTTTGGGTTGTATATTTGCATAGTATTCTTTGATACATAGACATGCTAATGCCAGACTTCTTGTGAACCCGTTGCTTTTTGGTACCTGGATTTTGAATTTAGGGATAATGTTGTTTTTTCCAGATAATTTGTGCATAATACACTTTTTTTTCCTTGATTTTTTGGTTAAATTTCTATGTATTCAAATCTATCAAAGTTATTGTATATGTTAAAATTTGAGGTGATTTTTGTTGTATAGATTTGAAGCAGTTTTGATTATTCAGAATTTATTCTATATATTAAAGGTAAATTTCATTAATTCTGAATTATTTAAAGTTTGTATCCTTATTTCCCTTTGATTATCTGGTAATTTATTTATTTTGGTTTTAATGTAAGACATAATCATATCTTGCTCTAATTTCACTCAAATTTACTCAAACTGGAAAAAAACGTTACATCTAAATGTTATGACATGCAGTTTAGCTAATATGTTATGATCATCCATGATAAAACATGAAGTGTTTTTTCTTTTCTTGTTTTGTTTTTATTTTTGATTTGTTTTCTTTTGTATTGTTTTGTTCCTTATAGTGGCATTTGACCTGTAATATTCACATATAACTTTGTGTTGTCCAAAATTTTGTACCTCATTTTGGTCAACTGCAATTCAATAAGAATGACATTTTAATTAGTACCATTATACATATACATATAAAATTAAATATTTGAAGAGGTGAAATTCAGTAAAATGTGTGAAATAACATGATTTTTAACAATAAAGTCCCTATGTTTGAAAATTTTATTAACTTTATAGTTTATTTTATTATTAATGGACGGGTTCACCTTCAAAAGCAAGGTTGACAAATTAATAAAATTAACAGTAGAAGAGCATTTATTACCTACTGTATAGGTTAATTTAAGCTTGCTAATTACATGTTTTCTTACTTGTCTGCTGCTCATTTGTAGCTTCAACGGTTGCATTGATGATAGAAGGTATGAATCTTTTGCTTTTATATTATCGTACATTTTGCCATTTGTCATTACCATTCACTTCAACAATTATATGATCATGCTATTGTTTTTTAGGCTCAAGGATGTTATTCTGAGTAGGATAATTCTGTTGATTTCTAATCTTCCTTTTGATCTGTCTTAGTGTCAAATCCCTTAGTTTAGAATGCTAAGATCCTACGCACATATGCAAACTATTAGACATAAGTACAAATATTCTAACTTAATGCAACTATGATGCATCAGATTTATATATTTGTGCAGTTACCTTGAGATGAACTCTGTTGACCATCTTCCATGTTTGCTGGAGTTGTTAGGGGTTTTTAATCCTCTCATTTCTCTTCTATTTTTATTTCATATTAGATTAGGTCCAGTTGCTCAAAACCAATATAAACCAAATTTTTATTCAAAACCAATGTGGATTAATTGAATTTTTTGTCCTCTCCTTTCTCTTCTATTTTTATTTCAAATTGGATCAGGGCCAGTTGCTCAAAACCAATGTAAACTCAATTTTTATTCAAAACTAATGTGGATTAATTGAGTTTTTTTATCCTCCTTTCTCTTATATTTTTAATTCACTTCTCCAATATTTTTCTTTTCATTAACGAGGGGCAGTTGCTTGAAACTAATGTCAACTCTATCTTGATTCAAAACCAATATAAACTCAATTTTGATTAGACATTTTCAAAAGAATTTGAGTGTTTTTTCATTTTTCTTCATGGTTATCAATTCAATTTCCCAAAATTTATTCATTTGTAACATCAATTAATTAGAGGGAAATTATGAAAGTTACACATGAAACCAAAAAAACTCAAATAAAGTTCATAAGCTAACACCTATCAATGAAACTAAAGAGATTAGAATATTACCTTTGTTAGGGTTTTATCTAACCCCTGATGCGATTTGGAAATAGAGATGAGAGAGAAGAGAGAGAAAAAATCAATCACAGAAAGAAAAACACACAAGATTTACATGGTTCCCTTCTCGTTGTGAGAAGCTACGTCTACGATCGCCGCATGAGAAAATTTCATTATTTTTCGCCAGTTTACAAGTTGCCCTAATAACCCTTTTAATAACATAAGGGTTAATATAAACAGGAATCTCAAACAATTCAGAAAAACGAGCCCAAGCCCAAAAAACCCGACTCACGGTCGACCGCAGAGAAGTCGCGGTCAATCGGACAGAACGACAGAAACTAAATCGACTACAGGGTTTGGCGCAGTTGACCGCACATGCTGTCGCAGTCGACCGCCAAAAGTCCAGAGACTTTCTTGGTCTTGTGCATGTTCACGGTCGACCTCCGCATCACTCGCAGTTGACCGTGAGGCTTCCAGGTTGTTCCTTTGTCGTTTTGTCTGAACTTCAACGCCGTCGTTCCTATTCCTTCAATTCTCATGTTTCCTCTTCAATTAGAGGTATATGGCAAGTATGATAGTTAGGCTCCACATATCCTAACAATCTCCCACTTAGAGACTAACTTTCAATCTTTATCACCTTTCCCTGTGGCGGCGGCCTTCCATAT